TCCACAGTCAAGAGAGGTAAAGCAAACCGTGCCAGCTGCTGGGAAAAGATTTGCCATTTTTCCCCCTCAATGGGGTTCGTGTTCCTGATGCCGATCAGGACTTTGTAGCTCTTGTTCTGCAGCGGAGTTTCAATTATTTCCGAACTGCTGCTCCTGTAAGTGTGTGTGGGGGAGATAAGAGTCCATGCAGTCGGAGCTGTAAATCTTCCATGACTTCCTTTCCTACCAAAAGGCTCTGGAAAAAAGCACTTGTAACAAAACCTTCCAGCTTTCAAATTTTAATGCAAACTTAATTTTGTTATAAAACCTTCCAGACAACTTCTTCCTTTGCCTTTTGCTCCCTCAGCTCTTGCCTGTTCTTCCCTGAGGTGGAATTTAAGAGAATTGGATATATCCATGTGTGGCTTTTAATGGATTTCATAGCACAAAGGAAATCACAGTTGTGGGAACAACAGAATCCCAGGAATCCAAGGGGAGCCTTCCTTCCTTGCTTGGAAACGGGGATGGAACAGGTGCATCAAATTAAGCACATTTTGTGTTTATTTCACAACACTCCTGTTTCCCAAATTGCCCGGCAACACAATTATCCAAGTAAGAAAAACGTCAATAATGACATTTARTTTGGGTAAGCATATAATGAACGCTTCAAATCTTTGCCTCTCAAGCTTTTTAAGCCTTTAGGGGAGAACCTGGAACTGGGGATGCAGAACGGGGAAAGGATGCACAGGTAAAGAGGGGAGTTCAGGGTGGAGTTGTTGTGCCCAATTACATGGCTGCAAACCAGGGATGTTYGGATAAAGCGCTCCAGATTCTAATTTCCTGATTTCCCGAGGCTGCTGTGCTCCTCTGCCCATCCCTGCCCTTTCCAGCCCCACCTGTCCGGTGCTTCGGGCACATCCAAATGCAGAGCACAGSCAATGGCTCTGCCTGAAGTGTCCTGGGGGGGAAAGGAGCCTTTGAGTTTCTGCTATCACTTCTGCCTCCCAAATCGTGCCTCTGGAGACAGGGAAGAGSAGGAGAGAGAAAGAAAAATGCTTTTCTTTGTGACCCAAAGTGAACCAATTCATGACCATGGGCTGGGAGAGCTGGGGATGCTCACCTGGAGGAGAGAAAGCTCCACGGAGAGCTCAGAGCCCCTGCCAAGGCCTAAAGGGGCTCCAGGAGAGCTGGAGAGGGACTGGGGACAAGGGATGGAGGGACAGGACACAGGGAATGGCTTCAAATTGGAAAAGGGGAGATTTGAGTGGGATATGAGGAAGAAATTTCTCGCTATGCGGGTGAGGAAGGGCTGGGATGGATTTCCGAAAAGAAGCTGTGGCTGCCCCTGGATCCCTGGCAGTGCCCAAGGCCAGGCTGGACATTGGGGCTGGGAGCAGCCTGGGACAGTGGGAGGTGTCCCTGCCATGGCAGGGGTGGCACTGGATGGGATTTAAGGTCCATTCCTACCCAGGATTGTGTTGGATTGGGTGATTTTGGAATTCAGCTTCTCAGGAGGTGTGAGGAATGCAGTGTGGGAATGGAGGAGCCAGGAAGTGTTTCAGCCCTGGGGCTTGGGCATGAAAACAGATGTTTGCCATATGGAAATAATTCCAGACAGGCCAAATCTCTTTCCCATCCAAACTCCAAGCTCCTGCCCTGGTTTTGTTGGCCTGGGCACTAAAGTTTGTCTTTAATGTTTGGCCTTTGGAATTTTCATATTCCAGGATGAAAATGGCCTGGTGAGGAAAAGTCTCCTTATAGCACATAGTCACACGAAGCCACTACCTGTGAGCTGAGGAATTGTTTGTGGGCAGATGATCAGATTTGGCTGCTTTGTTTCCTGCATGCCCAGAGAGAGCAATATCAGATTTTTTTTCCCCGTTTCCACAGTCAGGACCAGTGACAGAGCTCAGAAGCAAATGAGACTTGTCAGTCTGTATTCCCTCCATCATCAGAGGCTGATTCCTGCTGCTCTCTCATGTCCCAGACAGTAATAAATTACATTTTCCGAGSCCAGCCAACGAGATGATTTGCAAACATGAAGCAGCAGCTTCTAGCAGAATGCATTTCACTTTTTTTGGGAGTAGACATTGGATTAACCTGGAGTGGTACAAATTGCAGCGGCAACGAGTGTAATGAAGCTTTGCTCCTTGAAAGTTCAGTGCAGGCTTGATGTATGCAAAAGTAATTAAAACTCAATTTGTTGTGTTTTCAGAAGAGACTTGAAATGCGTTTGACAGAGAAATCACGTCCCTTTCTATCACAAGGTGTTTCAATCTTGTCATTTTCCYGTTTGTCACTTTGGATTTGGAGTGAGAGCTTATGCTTCCAAGCAGTCTCTTGCTGAGGCAATGATCACCCAGGAAGTCTTGTAAGAATAAATACTTGTTCCTCCCTGATTTTCCMATGGATGCTCTCCAGGATTGTATAAAATGGGTCCAAACTTCCTCACAGCCCTTTGTCTTCCGTTTGAAGAAATCAAGGAGCCCCTGCTAGGCTGATTTGTGTTCCTGAGGATAGCTCTTGCTGAAAATGCTCCAAGCTTTCTCTCCCAAAGTGTCTTTGTGCTTCAGGAATCCTCAGGCA